AGAACTGGATCAGGCTATCAATAAAAGCGCATTAGATCTAGATCCTTTTAAAAATCAGGAGAATTTTGTAAAATATAATGAACAACTGAAAAAGGAAGTCGAAAAAGTACAGAAAAATCTTAGAACTACTAAACAAACTAAATTTAGACGTGATTTAAAAGACTGGGAAACAGGTGAGATATTTGATCTCACCACAAAAAGAAGTAGGAGTCGATCTAAACGAAGAGTTTTTCGTTCACATTCTAGATCAATGGGAGAAACTATGTCTAGTGAAAGTGAGTCAGAAAATCTTGGGAAATCGGTCTCTTTTTTAGACCAACAGAACGGAGAACCTCCTCGTATCCATCAATTACAGATGGGAAGAGGATCAAAAAAGAAAGTAGAGGAATCCTTAAAAAACAAACATCAGGAGGACAAGGGCAGAACAAGAAGTCAGAGGAGGTAGTAGAAGAGAATATTAATGACAAAAAAGTGATCAATTTGGCTAACTTTCCACTTAAAAGGGAACATATTTCTTTATTAAATAAAGGAATGTCCTTTTCACCAGTGACTCCCATGGACGAGTTCGAGGTATTTAAAGATGTAAACTTATTTCTAAGAAAAGTTTTCCTGAGAATGATACACAGTAATCCCATTATCTTGGAGGATTTGGCCTCTGACTCGTCCACTGAGGATCGCAAGATGCTGGATATGTTGATATCTCTCATAGAAGAAAATGAGGATGATGATGAAAATGTAATAGATTTGGATAATTTTAACAACATTATTAGAAAGGTCGATCTAAACATCAGATCGACAAAAATGCCGAAAATTCGTTCTAAATGAGGATCTCGACATTTCTAGACTTTGTTGCTGATGATCTTAAAAATCTTGAGTGGAAAATGCCAATTGGTGATAACCTCACTAAAAGAAAGAAAGAAAGCTCTAAAAGAATTAAAAGAGACTAGAGATATTGTCATTAAGAGAAGTGATAAAGGGGTAATGTGGTGATTATGAAAGAACTAAATTATGTTAGGGAGGTGAAACGTTTATTGAGTGATTCATCCACATATAGGAAAGTGACTGCGAATCCTTTCCATATGGTGGTTAAAAAACTGAATTCCATTTTAACATTAGGAAAAGAAGTGGGTTTATTAACAAAAAAAGAATATGACTATCTAAGAACTGAAGAATTCAATCACCCTACTTTTTACATTATCCCAAAAATACATAAAAACCAAGAAAACCCTCCAGGCAGACCTATTGTTTCTGCCATTAATGGTCCCCTAGACAAAACAGGGAAATATATTGACTTGTTTCTTAAGGATATGGTTCCGAATCTCGCCTCATATGTTAGGGATACTAAAGATGTGTTGGCTAAAATCAAAAATATGACTATTCAGGACAACTCCATTCTAGTGGGAATAGATGTGGAGTCACTTTACACCTCTATCCCACATGAATGTGGTGTGAGATCAGTTTCCTACTTCCTTGACAAAACACATCCCACTTTAGGAGGACAGAACGAATTTATTAGTGAGTTACTGGAGTTTGCACTGAAACATAACTTCTTTCAATTTAATAATACCTTTTATCAGCAAACTAGAGGTACTAGTATGGGAGCACCGTGGGCTCCGGCTTACGCATGTCTCCATTTGGGGTTTTGGGAGGAACAAGTAGTATTTAGATCATCAAGATTCCTAGCTAATGTCCAGATCTGGTTAAGATATATAGATGATGTGTTCCTCGTATGGCAAGGAACATCTGAGGAATTAAAATTATTCCTGGAAGAGCTGAATCAGAACTCCTTTAATATTGGACTTACATACATATTTGATGAAAGATGCATTTCTTTTCTGGATCTGGAGATTAGACTTGAAAATGGAAGACTTCTCACTAAGACATATAGAAAACCCACAGCCGCCAATACATTATTGGAGGCAAGAAGCTACCATCCACGTTCACTGATCTCAGGGATTCCTGTGGGACAGTTTTTGAGATGTCGAAGAAACTGTTCAAACATCAATGATTTTAAAATAGAAGCTCAGGACCTCTATAAAAGATTTAGAGAAAGGGGATATTCCCACTCCCAAATTAGAAATGCTCGGAGGCGGGCATATCAAACTGACCGTGAGGATTTATTTATCTACCAAAAAGGAAGAAAAGGCCAAATTGAGTGATCAGCCTGTGAGAATGATAACCCAATTTGGAGCCCAGTGGCAAGATGTCAAATTGATATTGGAAAAACACTGGAAGATTCTCACCCAATGTCCCAGGTTGAGTAAGATAGTAGGTGAACGTCCCCAAATGGTAGCAAGAAGAGCACCAAATCTTGGTGATCTCCTTATTCATTCAGATTATCAACCATTAAAACAAACAACATGGCTAAAATCACGTACTAAGGGAATGTTTAAATGTGGGAAATGTCAAATCTGCAAGTATGTGGATCGCACAGATTCTTTTTATGATTCAGGAAATAATACTCACTATAAAATTCAAAGTCTTATAAACTGCTCTACAGTAAGAGTACTATATATTTTAACTTGTCCCTGTAAAAAGATGTATGTAGGTAAAACTAAAAGACAACTTAAAGTACGAATAGGTGAACATCTTAGAGATATTAGATCTAATGACCCTGATAGTAATCTTGCTCAACATTATGCCAAATACCATGGAGGCAAATTGGATGGTACCAAAGTAAAAGGTTTCTATGCATTGCACTTCCCACAAAGGAGGGGTGACTTTGATAGAGAACTGCTTAAAAAGGAGAAATATTGGATATATAAACTTGATACACTGTACCCTAAGGGTTAAATGTGGAATGTGATCTCCAAGTGTTTTTGGAAAAATAGATCTATGGGACTATGTACTGGTTCACTACCATGTGACGGTTAGTTGATGGCATTTCCCCATCCCCCTTTGTGGTTTGGAATTGTGATCAACTAATCTCATTAACCACACTATATACAGTGGGAATATTTATACAAGTAGGGATGATCCTATGATATGAACTTTCATGTAGCTTGTATAATGTATAAGGGTTTACGGCCTGATCAAATGATCTTTAGTACTTCCTTTCTTTGTACAATAATCACATTGTGAGATGGCTGTTAAAAATTGGGATATTTTAGTTGTAATGACCCTTATGTGAATTCTCAGGTTATATTGCCATCTTGTGGTGGGTTTAGGTAATATAGGATACCTGTTGATAATAGACATTGATTTTCAAGTAACCAGATTTGATGAATGGAATTGTTGATTCTCTGATTTATATCACTATCTATTGGCGGGAATGTATGAAAGGCTTTAATAGATTGAGAGATATATATAATTTATGATCCATGTGATCAATATGTATATCGGTAAACAATATTCAGCCTCTCCCCTCATTGTTGACTCCAGCCGTCTGTTTTCTTTTAATTTTATTAAGACCAGCAGCTGTGCTAAGTATTTAGCCTCCCCCCCCTTGTTCTTTCCCATTAGAATAATTGCAGGTCATCCTCTTTTGCATAAATGGGTGGGTTCTTACCCACTATAAATAGGATATTGAAATGCAGTTATCTCATTGGTCCTGACGAAGCTGAGTGAGATACGCCCATCGGCGAAACGCGTTGACGTCATACGTCAGTTACGTCACTTCCGGTCATGCGCACTAGGTGGAACGCACGCTGGTCCATGAGGAGGAAGCCATTTTCACATGCCATTAGGCAAGTGTGAGCAGCACAAGCGCCAAGAGGGGGCTGGAGCCCGCGGTATATCGGTGGATGTCAGCGGTGGCTCCCTGGTCTCTGTGGCCGTGTATGGCAATACCCATGAAGGACATTTCTTTTATTTTCATTTTCCACAGCACAGGTGGTGAGTGGATTGTTGCGGGGACATTAGATATATGATCCTCTGTGATCTATATGATCTATATATCTTACTGAGTGTAAGCTCTGTCAGTGACTTCCCACATTATTTGTTTTACTACAGGATGGGGACATCATGGTGCTTTATGTAGGACACAAGATATAACACCATATATATTTCTACAAGCAGAAGATACCTTGGGATATGTCTTGTTGTTGTTTTTTCTACAAAAGGTGGTGTGTAGTCCACAAATAGTGGTGAAGACACCATTTCAAGCAGAATGTTGCTATTTGCATCTTTTCTCCCATCCTGGGAATAACTGGGGCTTATTTTCATTTAAAAGCTCTGAGATACAGCTGTTCATATTACAGATGAATGGGCCCCAACCACGTGTGCTGGCACAGGAATGCATTGTATTATATATTGGACAGTTATGTCTTTTTCCATACAGGCCCTAGGCCTATTGTTCTCTTCTTCACGCTTTTTGTGCTGCTGCCTTGCATACATGTGATATATATATATATCCATAGTATAATTTTTTGGATTCCCTTATTGGGATTCACCAGATTGATATTGTCATTTATTATATATTCAATATTATGGTATACTTATGGTACAATTTTTGGATACACCTCCCCATGGAAGTGTTCACCTATGTGCTTGCGCTGCAGAGGTATTAGACTCTTGAAGTCATTCTTTCTGTTGCACATGCATTTAGACCGGTCTTGATGTCATTTTATATGGTTTTAGGTCTGTGTGTTATTGTCTCATACTGAGGTGATGGTAAACCAGGGCATATGCCCATATGTCATATCTATATATGTGTAATAAAGCATAATTTTTGGAAATTTTCTGAGTGTCACGTTCTATTCATTATGTAGCCGCTTTTCTGTGAATCTCTTTTCACAAACCCCTCTTTTTTGAATGCCTTTTTTGGCTACTGAATGGAAACCAAATATTGGGTGACATGATAACTTAACTGATAACCTCTTAACAATTACTTTTAGTATATGTGGCTACATGAAGCTGCCATGTCATACACAGGTATGCAGAGTCATGCCTATGAGGCTTTGGAAACATGGGAAAGTGACAATTTACACTGTGGTTGGCATGTACATGTAGCCACTAGTCTCTTATTACTGGTATTTTTATGTCCAGATGACAATGTTAACTTATATCCTCACCTCAGAGCCAGAGGGGGAGGCCGGGAAGCGAGCACCAGGTGAAACTGGTCTGCTGCTCCGCTCTGGCAAGTCTAAAGGCAGGTCTCTCCTCAGGAAATCTCTGGACTTCTTCTTTTTCTCAGCATCAAGATCACGAGGATCAGAACCAGAATGACCCTCAGCTCGATTTAAGACCCCCGTGAGAAAGTCCGCAATCTCATCCTGTAGAAAGAGAAGTATTACTGAAATTATAAAAGCCTCATATAAATACCATGTATGAGGCAGTCAACACTGGCCGAAGACCACCTATTGTGTTTACATTTGGATAACACAAGAGCACCAGCTATACCGGTCACCTTCTATTTGTATATTCAGTTACATAAAACTGCAGGGATAAAATGGAGCATATCCATTAAAAGCACCACTAAGGGTCCAATTTTTCAAAGGGTTTAAATAATGAAAGAGTTTTCAAGTGATTTGCATAGATTTTAAAGGGCACCACCTTACCAAGTGACCAGAACCCTGCAATAAAAATGAATGATATATTTTTTAAGGAACACCACTGAAAAAAAAAAAAAAAAATATATATAACTATATCTTGAATATGTTTTGGTAAATACCTTAAAAAAACTGAAATTGTGTCTGTGTCCAAATATATATGGACCTAACTGTAGATAACAGGATCATTAGGTAGGGGATGTATATAGATTATTATTGGAGAATGAAGATATTGTTTAGTGTCACTTTTAACAATAAATGACAACTGAGAATTAGGCGGTTCATCTTAAAATTTTTACTGGCAGTAATATTGTTTATACTGGGTAGATGACAAGAACAAATACGTTGTTTCTGGTACAGGAAGACTCTTACTCCAAAGAGACCTTCCCCTCTAGCCGAGCAGTGTATTGCAAAAACGTAGTTACTGATCATAATCACAGAGTAAAGAAACCCAGGTACATCTGCGTTGAAGGGGATTTCCAAGATAAACAATAATTGTAACAATGTTTTTAGAATTACATAGAGGAATCCATTGCTAAGCATCTCTATTCTATTGTGTGAAACTCTATGGTTTAAAATTTTGCCTGCAATGGTGCTAATGTTGAGCCGTAATATTGCAGTTTAACCCTTCATATATTTAACTGTGTTGTATGAGGGCAGGCATAACTCACTGTAAAGTTAGGGGAACAGCTTAACAAGTCTCCTAAGGAAGATTGAAGATCACTTTAAAATTAATTCTAACATTTAATAATTATAGCTATAATACATAAGTAAATATATTAAATAAACTGGATTTTTTTTTGTTACTGTAAAACTCCTTTTCTTGGAGTTCATTGACGGACACAGATGTTCGGATTCTTGACTATAGGGTTTTATAGCGGCACCTACAGGAATAGGACACTAGGCAGAAAAGAGCACAGCACCACCTATGGGCAGTCCTAGCTGATGTAAATCCCCTCTCTGCTATAGCTAGTTATTATTTATTATTATTATTATACAGTATTTATAAAGCGCCAATAGTTCGCTCAGCGCTGTACATTACAAAGGGAGACAGAACATGTGACAGAACAATACCAATACAATGCAAAACATGAGGGGATCGAGGGCCCTGCTCTTTCGAGCTTACAATCTAGGAGACTAGTCACAAAGCAGTGCAAGAAAGATAGAATACTCAAATAGAGGGGTGGGTGCGGTGTCTGTGAACTCAGAGAAAGGGATTTTATGGTAACAAAAAATTCAGTTTTTTCTTATGTACATTGATGGACAGACATAGCTGTTCTGATAATTGACCAGAGCTATGTCCCAAAGCAGTGGGCAAACAAAAACAGGAGCAATCATGCCAAAAAGCCAAAACATACCCCCCCCCCCCCCCCCCCCCACCAAGGGGAAACAAGGAACCTAAAAACAGCGGCCTGCAAAACCTTGCAATCAAAACAAACATCCAAAGATGCAAACACATCAACTTCAAATTGAAAAAGTGTGCACAGATTACCAGTTAGCTGCCTTGCAACCTGAGACAGACTCCAGATGTCAGAACGCCCAAGAAGCACTAACCGCCCTGGTGGAGAGTGCTGTAACAGGGAATGGAGGAAACTGACCCCCGCTGGGCCAACCACCCCAGGGAAGTACCCTTGCCCCAGGGGAGAGGGCATCTACTTACCTATCTATGGAGGTTGCTGGTAACACTCCTGAGAGAGATTCGCCTCCCACTGGGGTGGTCGGGCTTTCAGTCATGTTGGCACTGTGACACAGACATCAGGTGCCTGGTCATATTTGCCCCTACAAGACGTTTAACTCGCTGGCTGCCCTGGTCCAAGATAGGGCTGTCACAGCTGATTCGGCTCGTAGCTACAGATCTGCATGCGCTCACTGGCCAGGTTGGGGTGACTACTGGACCTAGATCACATGTTAAACACAAGGCCTGTGGGCCGAATCTGGCCAACCAGGTCATTTCATGTCGCCCTCACACCTCTCCTGCGACACCCCACTTGTCTATCCCCACCTTGTCTAAGCAGTCGGCAGCAGTGAGGATGACAGAATTCCTCCTATAGATCCTGTGCCTCTCTGTGCAGCTGCAGCACCCCCCCGCATCTCTGCCTTCTCTAGTCTCAACATTCAGCAGACTCCTGCAATTGATTCCAGTCCTACTCTGGTCCTTCTTCAGACCCTGCACTTTCTGCTCTCTAGCTTCTCCTCCAGCTTCTTCCCAGCAGCAGCACAAGGTAAGGGGGGTGCACAGCGATGTAAGGGAGGATGATAAGACTCTTGATGTCTGATAGTGGGGGAGCTCTTGACATCAGATGTAAGGATGGTGGGTGCACTCTGGACATCTAGTCTTACAAATACAACAGGCCCTTTGACGGCAACCATAATGCTGATGCAGCCCATGTTGAAACTGAATTTGAAACCCCTGATCTAGATTATTCAGTCAGTCATCCAGCCAGACTGCTGATTGACGACCTCTGCAGAAAAAATACCAGGAACAAAGGAAAAAAGAAAAACTATGGAACCATTGGTCTTAGCAGGAAAAGGAGGTCCTCCTGAAACAGTAGGAAGATTTATCTGGCTTGCCTATAATGGAGAGAAGGTTTATACCAGCTAAGGCCTCTTTCACACAATCGGTTGTTCTGCCGCTTGTAAATGGAAGTTTCTTTATTTTGAAATTCCAAAACACTCCTGGCACAGAGATCACTTGCGTTTGTACATTGCTTTTATCTGCATTTACGTGCTTCTACATGCGGCTGCGTTTAGCTGCGGTAGTAAAATTCTTGCCTATTCTAATGCAACGGTTTACTTATTTTTTATTTTGTACTGCGATTAACTGTGGTACATCGCTCCTGGACACAGTCAACTTTATTTTTCCAGGACGCATAAAACCGTATGTTATGAAAAAGTTGCTAAGCGCAGTGTGTGAATGGAGCCATAGGGATGCACTGTCTGCATTTAGCTGTGGTAAGCAAGTTCCTCTAAACCAGCGGTTCTAACCTGTGGGTCGCGACCCCTTTGGGGGTCGAACGACCATTTCACAGGGGTCGCCTAAGACCATCGGAAAACACATATTTCCGATGGTCTTAGGAACCGAGACACCGCTCCTCTGTCTCAGGCGATGTGTGGGCGTGATGACATGGTGCCCTGTCATCTGGCCACACCTCCGGGATCACTCAACAGCTCCGCCTCCTCGCCGCTGATTGGCCACCGGAACTGTAGCTCAGGAGAGGCACACAGGCAGCCAATCACCGGCGAGGAGGTGGAGCTTGGAGAGGAGGAGCCGAGCGGCAGCGCGCGTAGATCAAAGAAGATCGAGGGAGCTGCCGGAGCAAGTGAAGAGGAGAGCGGCCAGAGAAGGAAGACAGCTGACAGGTAAGTGCAAATTTTGCTGCTGCAGCCAGGTATGCAGGCTGTAGATGGGAGAGGGAGAGAGCGAGCCCAGGCTGGAGCAGGGGTCAGCAAGGTAAGTATCATTGGTGTCAGTGGGAGGAATAGTGCCCCATCATTTGTGTCACTAATACCAATGATGGGGCACTATTCCTCCCACTGACACCAACGATGGGGCACTATTCCTCCCCCCACTGACACCAACGATGGGGCACTATTCCTCCCCCCACTGACACCAACGATGGGGCACGATTCCTCCCCCCACTGACACCAACGATGGGGCACTATTCCTCCCCCCACTGACACCAACGATGGGGCACTATTCCTCCCCCCACTGACACCAACGATGGGGCACTATTCCTCCCCCCACTGACACCAAAGATGGGGCACTATTCCTCCCCCCACTGACACCAGCGATGGGGCACTATTCCTCCCCCCACTGACACCAACGATGGGGCACTATTCCTCCCCCCACTGACACCAACGATGGGGCACTATTCCTCCCCCCACTGACACCAACGATGGGGCACTATTCCTCCCACTGACACCAAGAATGGGGCACTATTCCTCCCCCCACCGACATCAACGATGAGACACTATTTCCTCCCCCCACTGACACCAATGATGGGGCACTATTCCCCCCCCCTGACCCCAATGATGGGGCACTATTCCCCCTCCACCACACTGACATCAATGATGGGGCACTATTCCTCCCACTGACACCAATCACTATTCCTCCCACTGATACCAATGATGGGGAACTATTCCCCCCCACTGACAAACGATGGGGCACTATTCCTCCCCCCACTGACACCAAAGATGGGGCACTTTCCTCCCCCCACTGACACCAACGATGGGGCACTATAACCTTGACCCCAATGATGGGGCACTCCCTATTCCCCCCTCCACCACACTGACATCAATGATGGGGCACTATTCCTCCCACTGACACCAATGATGGGGCACACTATTCCTCCCACTGATACCAATGATGGGGAACTTTCCTCCCACTGACACCAATGAACTATTCCTCCCACTGACACCAATGATGGGGCACTATTCCTCCCACTGACACCAATGATGGGGTTCCTCCCACTGACACCAATGATGGGGCACTATTCCTCCCACTGACACCAATGATGGGGTACATGGTCCTCCCACTGACACCAATGATGGGGCACTATTCCTCCCACTGACACCAATGATGGGGCACTATTCCTCCCACTGACACCAATGATGGGGCACTATTCCTCCCACTGACACCAATGATGGGGCACTATTCCTCCCACTGACACCAATGATGGGGCACTATTCCTCCCACTGACACCAATGATGGGGCACTATTCCTCCCACTGACACCAATGATGGGGCACTCTTCCTCCCACTGACACCAATGATGGGGCACTATTCCTCCCACTGACACCAATGATGGGGCACTATTCCCCCCACTGACACCAACGATGGGGCACTATTCCTCCCACTGACACCAACGATGGGGCACTATTCTCCCAGGACACCAACGATGGGGCACTATTCCTTCCACTGACACCAACGATGGGGCACATTCCTTCCACTGATACCAACGATGGGGCACTATTCCTTCCACTGATACCAACAATGGGGCACTATTCCTCCCACTGATACCAACAATGGGGCACTATTCCTCCCACTGACACCAACGATGTGACACTATTCCTCCCACTGACACCAACGATGGGTCCTCCCACTGATACCAACGATGGGACACTATTCATCCCACTGACATCAGTGATGGGGCACTACTCCTTCCACTGACACCAATGATGTGGCACTAGTCCTCCCACTGCAAAATTACAGTTATGAAGTAGCAATGAAAATAATTTTATGGTTGGGGGTCACCACAACATGAGGAACTGTATTAAGGGGTCGCGGCATTAGAAAAGGTTGAGAACCACTGCTCTAAACGCAGCTAAAAGCAGAAATCTAACCGCCCTTTGTGAAAGGGCCTAAGACTGCCCATAGGTGGTGCTGTGTTCTTTTTCTGTTTCTTGTCCTACTCCTGTAGGTACCGCTATAAAAACCATATGGTCAACAATCAGAAGAGCTGTGTCTACCAATGAATGTAAGAGAAAAGTGCTATATTTCGTTAGGTGAATCCAACTTCATGTTAAAAGCAGAAATAATAAGGAAAAGCAGCATCTGGGTGACTGCACAAACAACACAATGTCTATTTAAAAGCCCCAGCAGTCTGAGGTACAAGGATGCCCTAAAATACATAGGAAAGTCCCTACCTCTGATATGCAAATAACAACTTTGGTTAAAATTACCCTTTATGGTCCATGCACAGCAGCTTAAAAAACATCACTGCTCTTGGCAGAAAAAAAAAACCTGTTTTGTACTAGCAATTAGGTACGTTTCAAAAACGCAAAACAAAAAGGGTTTTCTGCCTCTAAACGCAGAGCTTAGAATATGCTCCTAAACAACTTATTGTGCATGGACACATAGGATAACATTAATGCTTTCTACAGACAAAACGTTAAACTCCTCTAGGAGCAGCGTTTTTTTTTTTTTTTAAGCCAGTGTGCATGGACCCCAAATTAGTAGTCAGTACAAGACTTAAGGGTGACCCTGACTTGTGCTGCCCTGCCTCCTCCCCCTTCCTTACCTTACCAATGGACATTTTTCTTAAAAGTACTTTATGTGTGTCACAAAGCAGCAATTCTACATTTTTCATCCAGGCAAAAGACTTTGTTCCTGCCCACTGCATGTGCGCAAATGTGCTGCAGGGCTCGGGTCCCCGAGAGCACCCTGTGGTACATTTGTGCATGGGAGTTTCCCATGCAAAGACTGCTACCGGGGATGTCCAAAACCTTCTTTGTCTTTGCATGTGTGTGTAAAGTCCCCTGTGCATGTGCCATAATGATGATGCCCAAAGAGGAGGGGAATTTGGAGTCCAACTGAAGTTCTGCTTTAAGAGCTCGCTCACATTATGTCATTATAAGCGATGACCTTTATTTTTCACACTGGATAAGGCCAAGAGAAAACAATTGGTTTCTGTGTGCCTAATTCACACCACAATGCTGGTGTGATTTTTGTTCTGATGCATGGCGGCAAAAATGCAGCATGCCTCCATTTTTAGCAGTGCACTTGATGGCACTGCATGTTACAGCACAACACACTACATTGTTGTGCAAGACATTTGCAGAGACCCCCCCCCCCTTCCCCAAAACAAGAAGATGCCAGCTATGGGCCAGTTCTAATTGATCTGTTCAAAGAATCCAAAGTGAAAAGGTGATGCATCAGTAAGAAAAGGTCTACTGCATTATACTGCACAAGAAAAAGTTCATTCATTGAAAATACATTCATTCATACACAACCTTAAAAAGCATCAAGCCATCCACTGCGACCAGATTGGTTTTCTCGATTAGAGATTAGCTTGACACCTAAATACAAACCTTTTCAATGCATCTTAACTTAACACTTGATCTCAAACCTTACAGTACATAGATATCATGTTAATGCCTATTCCGACCCACCCCTCCCCCCCTTCTCCAAACTTTTTTTATATACATTATATAATCAGATAAATGGGCTAACTAAGCTGAACACCTAAATTAACATGGCATTAAAACAAAAGTGTCAGTTACTGATGTTTGCTTTGATCTGTATTACAGTGGAGATTATTAGTCCTCATGTATACTGGACATCTTTACAGCGGCTGTTTTTGGCTTTTGCTGTTTTTTTTATACAGCCAGTAAACTCCCTAGCTTGTTATCTTGTGTCCATGCACACATAGACTGTAATCAACGTTTTTTTTTTTGGCAGTGGCGTTTTTTGGTTGGAACCCCCCCAGAAATAGTGGGTTTTTAGAGGATTTTTTTAGCTGTAAAAATGCTCTAACGCTGAAAAATGTGGAAAATGCGGTGAACCAGCATTTTTGTACTTTTACTGACCAAAAAAAAATTTTTTTTTTGTCAAATAAAAACCGCGAATACAAAAAACCGCAACAAGACGCCACTAAATGCTAACACAAAAATGCTAAAAACCGCTGAAAAAGTCACATCACTAGCATTATTAAAACGCCCAGTGTGCATGGAGCCTAAAACTGAAAATGTATGTTTGCGTGTCAGCATTTAGCTACGGTAAATCATAGGGTACCACAAAACACTAAGCTTGACAGTCAAAAAAATATTCTCTACACAAAATTACACACTATCACCCTGCATTTTATGCAAGTAATATGGTACTAACCATAACAGAAACATATAAAATACTGCATAAACCAATACAGAAGCAAAGTTAGTCTTACCTGAATGCACCTGTCTACCATACTTTGGGTCAGACTCTCTGTTTTTTTCTTCATCTTGCTTATCCTGGGAGAACAGATTAAAATAATGTAAAAGCAACATACCATACTTTGAAGCACAAGAAAGGATTTTTTCCAAAATAAAAGCGTATGAGTGACAATTTCAAGTACTGAAATTTTTTTGCAGAATTTACACAACTGTAAAAAATGTTTGTCCAATGCAATATTTGTTCAGCAGTCGCACTGCATAATATTCTGAAAAAATAAGGGCATTTCTAAATAACCTCATCAAACAATTCTAGTCAACAAACAAAAACAATCAGTGACCTACTAAAGCTCTGACTACTATGGTTGTGGGTTTGTTTTATTATTTTATGTTTTTTTTTTTTTTTTTTTTTAGAGTTCACGTTTACAATTTTTTTTTTTTTTTTAAACCTTTTTTTTTTTTATAAAGAATATTTATTGTTGTATACATTTTTTCCTGGCCATCATTAATAAAGAAAACATATGCAACCTACTATATATTCACTTTGAGTAATTAAGATTAGTCAAGCTACTATGGTATTTTATTTTATTATCTACAAGTTTATAATGTCTAAAAGTTCCTGTTATACCCACCACCTGTAAAAATCTTTCGACAGAGGGTGTTTTCTGACAGAGCTTGGAAATACGCTCTCTAATACGCAAGCCCACCATTGGTTCCTCACTTGATTATATGTGGCTCCCGCTGCTGTCTCAGCCAAGGAGGAGAGGGAGTCCAGGGATAGCTGAGAATCCAGTGCACATTGGGAGGGAGCTTAGGTGAATATTAGGGGGGGATGCTGCACTGAGAAGGTTTTTTTACCTTCATGCATAGAATGCACGAAGGTTAAAACCCTTCAGTCTTTACAATCACTTTAAATAGAACATATTACTATGCAAATTGCTGCCATTCAATTTGTGGTTGATTTAAGTAATAATAATCCCTGAGTACGAACTTCCTAGCAATCAACCTCTCTTACCTCAAATACCTTTGTAGAAAAGTTCATATATACTGTGGACATGTGACATCTCTCAAAACACTCCCTACCTCGGACTCTGGGATCTGGAGGAAGAGTGAGGGATAATCCTGTGACAGAGCTAGAAATAAACACACGGGGAAGTAGAAAGACTTTACCTGTGCCTGCACAGAGCCAATTGGTGACGTTGTGGTTACATGTGAAAAAAATGTATTGTGTGATTGTAAAAAAAACTGGCAGCAAGGCTCTCTGGATGAGCTGCTGCCAGTCACAATGTATATCACAGCCCAGAAGCTTATGTAATGTGTGTCATGTAGGGCAGCTAGCAGGAAGACAAAGGATCTAAATCATCCCTGCTAGATCTGCCCCACTCGATCACACAATTATGACACGGTGTGGAGAGGGGGAGACATAGTGGACGTGTGCACCTACATGCTATGCTGGAGCTGCCCCCATGATGATGCAAAGAGTCACTTAGGCTAGGTTCACACCTCACCTCATTTGAATGAGCTGCCATGCCCTGAGACATGCAGGAAAGAAGTCCCTGCACTATTTTTGAAATCGCAGCACGTGTGGGAACCCCGGCTCCCAGTACGAGTGCAATTTCTAGTGTTGGCGGCGTGCCATTAGGGAGTCCTGCATTTTTTCGTGTGTGAGTGGTTGCGGATGCCTTAGGGTGGCTTGTAGAGAAAAGGGGCAGTGAACAGTGTCCACTGGCAGAGCATGCACAATGGAGGTGGCAACGGTTTGCAGCTCGTTGACAACAAGGATGAGTAACTGAACTGGGTTTACTGTCATGACCCCCCCCCCTCCCCTCATTTGTGGTTACTGGCAGTGAAATCTAAACCACCCATACTGCACAGGAGGTGCATTGGTAGTCATGGCAGTGATATTTAACCACCCCCTCTCCTGTATTTGTACCTACGGCAGTGAAAAAGTTAATCATCCATTCCCCCTCACATTAGAGGTCATGAGGGGTTGAATTTCACTGCCTTCGACCACCAATTTGGGGGAGGGGATTGTTAACAGTACCGACACCAGTAGTGAGGGTTATTATGGCATCCACAGACATCAATTATTATTATTATACAGTATTTATATAGTGCCAAAGGGTTTGCTCAGCGCTGTACAATAGCAAGGGGGACAGAACATGAGACAAGACAGAAACAATACAATACACGAGGGGTTCTAGGGCCCTGCTCTTGCGAGCTTACAATCTAGAAGATCAATGCTAAGGATTACGATTATTGCCACTGACACCAATGCTGGGGTTATCAAACGCCAAGTTTTTCAGCGTGCATTGTGATATATTTCAACAAATGCTACAAGGCCAACATTTCTGGATGTTAATGTGCTCTATACCCCATTACTTTTGAATGGGTTTCCTAACTCGATGCAATGCACCTCAAGGCACAAAATGCACACTTGTCTACCTGCAGGGCTTTTTGTAGTATTAGTTGACTAAAATGCACAACAGTCCCAGTTGGCTATATTTTTGCCTGCTCCAATTAAGCTGTCGGAACTGAATATATTGACTTGCCAAGACCTGTGATGCATCTGCTGATTCATACTCGTGGTGCTGCATCAATCTGTTGCGACTACAGATTAGATTTTTTTAATGACACAAAATATTCAGCCATTTGCGATACATATTAGCACATTATGGGTTTATCTTGCAGGGAAAGGTTTTTTTTTTTCCCCGTAAGTTTACTACTACTTTAAGATTTGTGTGTTTTTTGCACATAAATACATCTTTTTTTTTCCTTTTAAAGGAGTCATTTAACCAACAAGTCTCAGGGATACAAAGTGCGTACCTTACAATCTGAGGCCTTTATTTCAAGTGTATATGATCGTTAGTTGATATTATCACAGGTTATGTGCAAGTTCTAATAGGGGGAACTTTAATTTAATCCTTTGTTTGTTTTATTCAATATCTTACAGTTTATGCCAACACTGATCAGCAGCTAAATTGGTGCTTTAAATTATTAAGTATTAGACTTTTTAAGTTTTGAACTACAAGAATTAAATACCAATCTTGCAACTGGATGAAGTGAAGATATTTAAGCATAAATTATAACAATAAAATTGTACATAGACAAGATTTGTTTACATCCTTTAATCATTTTCCAAAGACGTTCTTCGGATACTGTTGAAATTTGATCACAATGAGTGGAGATAGACAGAACAAACAATTACTAACAGCCAAGCTTAAGAACACCCTACAAGAACTGGGAAAGGACATCAAAAATTAAAACCCTAGTAAAAAAAAAAACAACACAAGAAAAAAGGCGTGTGGGGTGCACCAACTGGGAAAAAAATGCTAGGACAGACATTCACTTTTCCAGAGTGAAAACTGCTCAGGAATCCTGAACCCTCACATAGTCACAAGACTAGAGGTGCGCCTGCCTCCTAAAGAATCAGGACCCATCGAGCAACAGGATGAGGGTAAAACCACACAGAAGAGTGCACCAGAAGGGTGTTCTTCACAAGCCTCCAGAACAGTTAAAGCTGAACTTTAATCTGCTTATATTTTGACTTTTCTGGTTCCTTTTCCCCCCCATCAACAAGCTAATGACATTTTTAAATAAAACTTGTTTACATTTGCATGCAGACCATCAAACGTAACACTCACATGTAATGATGAGCCACCATAATTGAAAGAACTGAAATCTAATGAATGAAATGGACAAGCCAGGGACAGTAAGGCTGAGAGGAAAAAGCTAGATGGGGCACATCCTCCAGTCAGGAAATGAGGCGGGCTCTATCTGACTTTCTGCAGCTTCTAATGCACACTGTGAGAAGCTCATATTGTGCAGAGAAATTAGAGTACGCAATTTCAGTACAGGAGAGAAGCCAGTACAACTGTGCATGACTGAAAGATAGGCTGGAGTTCACCTTTAAAGAAGAAGGGCCTAAACCTAGGTGAACAGATCCCATGGAATAAAGGCATTCCTTGTCATTACCGGAAGATGCCTACATCTAAAAGCTAGCTTGTTCAGCATGCAGGTAGCAAGAGCTGATCACTGGGCCCTCCTCTAACATCTTCCACCTGCAGCGCAAGATCTGAAATGTACTTTAGTGCCTGGATCACTTCCCATTGTCCAGAAGTAACCAACTAAAAGGAACTGGTCTCCAGAAAATCACACTTAACAGAAACAGGGTAAACATAACTAGAATACAGGGTCTCCTCCAAGGCAGGGTGCAAACAACTCTCTTATCACAAGAGCTCATGTTCCTCCTAGAGGGTAGGCATAGGCAAGTACTTTGATGCACCATTGTGATTTTAAGGATACTTTCCCAGGGAATGATCCTGCAATGTAGGAGGCACCACCTGTTCTGGAAATCCAGCCTTTAAGCAAAAAAAAAAAAAAAAAGAATTCTCCAAGGAAATGATCTTTCCAAAAGTAGGAAGAGAAGTTCTTACCAGCCCCAGAACTGGACGGTTGGTTCGTCCTGATCCTCAAAGGCAGACAAAGTAGACTGCTTAGGAACAAGATCAGTAACAGAAGAGATGGAGGGAATCGGTAGTCCAAGAAGACCTAGGTTAAAAAAAAAAAAAAAAAAAAAAAAAAAAAGGGGCTTCTGGATACCTGACTCTTAAGCAACAATTGAAAAATGGGTAATTGCCAGACCAAGGAAGAATGGCATGAAGGCAACTATGCTGTATATCCTCTTTCCAGCTACCAACCAACCAATCCGGCACTAGCTGTCCACTATGACAAATGGTGTCTCTCAACAGTAGGTGATCATGAGTGTCCCACAATAGGGATGCTATGATAATACACTAGTGAAGGGAATTGGGGAAGACCCTGAAAAACCCTAGGTGTGCAGGGGCAAGACTGATAAATCAAAGCCCAGGTGGGACAGTGATCAGCAAGCACTGGTCCCAGCTGACAGGTCAGAGGGTCTTTCTGGAGAGGAACAGGGGTAGTGGAGTTAATCGATATTAGGCCCAACTGATGGTCTCATGTGTGCTAAGTAAAACAATACATTGTCCAAAGTTAATTACCCAAATGAAGCCTTGAAGCAACTCAATGGTCCTTAGTCCTATTCAGTTAGTTGCAGGGAAGACAGGTCCTTCAGAAGAAGGGTGTCTAGGCTTGTAACCTGAATCCTAAAGTAGGCAAGAAAGATGCAAGTACCTTTGTGAAGGTGCAAAGGGTGTTTGCCTCCTATTACGAAGTGCAGCAAGTGCTGATGAGGTGGGTAAATGGGAATATGCAGATAAACATCTTGGATATCTATTGCAAGGTAGATACTGCTAGGTTGTTTCAGAGAGGCAATAACCGACTTTTTGTTCCAAAATCCTTCATGGAATTTACAAAGGTATTTGTTTAGGGATTTTAAATACAGAAATTGCCCGGTTGGTGTTGTGGTACTTTACAAGTTTGAATAGAATTTTTTGAAACTGTACCCCAGAGGAAATTGGACATCAGTTACCTGGAACAAGAGATAGTTCAGGGTTGTTTGTAGATCTGAATGAGATGGTTGGTTTGAGAGGAGAAAACGACGAGGTAGAGCTTTTTAACCACCAATTAAACCTACAGGTCTGGGATGCATGTGACCCATAAAAAGGCAAATTATAACAGGCATTCCCTCACTCTTAGAAGTGAGGACACCGACTTCATTGTGAAGAGGGTTTTGGGAGTGGACGTGTTAAGTTTTGTGTTCCAAATCATGCACCAAAAGAAATGACTGAATTTTTACTTCAAAAATGAAGCCTGAAGATAGTGATGATGCACTCTACTTTTTGAGGAAGTAGAAGCCCCTGTAAAATGGAGTTTTAGAATCTTCTGTTATGGAAGAAGTGCTTCTCCTTCTGTGACATCTCTTATGAATTTGTCAAGTGCCTCACCAAATAGACGTCCTCCTTCAAAGAGCATACGTGTGAGGCAATGTAATCAGCTTCAGCTGAGCAGGCTTTTAGCCTGATAGAGATAAGTCACTCTGGAGGACTGTGTTTTAACATGTTTTAGGGTATCAACACAAATGCGTAAGGGTAACGCTTGCAAGTGCTCTGCCAAGTTTCAGTCCTGGAAAACAGGATCTTACTGGTTGTTCATTGCACTAAAGCCTGGTACACACTGAGTTTTTTTTTTGCTCATCCCAGTAGGATTAACAAAAATCCTGAAGCAAGGAACCGTCCGACATTCGGCCAATGTGTAGAGAAGTCTGTCCAGCTTCTGACTGCTGTGTTCTGTCGAGAGGGGGGAGGCCCCCCTGTCAGAACACAATAGCTCAGCTGAGAGATTGCTGCACTAACATAACATAGTAAGTACAGAGACCTCCTTGAGAGCTCCTCCAAAGAATAGCAAAAAACCCCCCCATACCATGTACCAGGCAGAACTATGCAATGTTAATACAGCAATCTATCTGCTAAGCTATCGTTTCCTGCCCCCCCCCCACAAGAAAACACCAATCGGTGCTTGCACATCAGATACCGATCTTCAGACGTTCTTCCAGCATGCCCGTTCTACAGAAGACGGATGTTTGCCTGGCTTCTGTTGGACAGGCTGCTGTGCACATGGGCCGAATGTCAACCAGTTTCTGTTGATCCAGCCAATACCAGCCGATATTCTGTCCATGTGTACCAGGCTTAATCTAGTTGGCAGCAGTCTGGCAAACAGATATGGAATCAATAACCAGTTGCAGAGTTGGGTCTGGAAAGTTAAAAGAATCATTAACAATGGCTCAAAGTTTTTAGAGGTTTAAGACTGAGATGACAAGGTCTACTATGGGGACAGACCAGTTTTTAGTGAACTTCTTCCACTAGATAGAGCATGGCTTGAGTCTTGGAGGGTTGAAAGTCTTTCTGGGTTAACCCAATTATCATAATTTGCCTATTCTATTGGTTTATGAATCGGGAATGGATCATATCCCTGAACTTATAAAGCGCCCTGCAGCTACCTGCATGCGTTCCACCACATGCAGAAGTGAGCCCCAAGCAACTTTACAGGCTGTCTCCACAGCGTGTGGTTTTGGTATAGCTCCCAAGGTTTTACAGAGGTTGCACTGATAAGAAGGCACTGCTTCTATTTTTGAATTAGTAGACAGCAAGCAGTTGATTGAAAGACAAAGAAAAATATTAAATTAGCGAGCAAATAATTTTTCTGTATAGGAGAAGAGGCTACATAAACCAACCGTGGCCACTGCAGCTAAAGGGGGTGTGGTTGGAGCAGGGGGGGTTGTAAAACACACAAATTGCAAATGTAAATGAACCCTTATTGTTCTGAGTCCCCTATAAGGCTGCTTTCACACGGACATGCTAGTTTACCTGCACCACGGGTGCAGCGCACTGCATCTGCAATTTTCCTGGGTTAGCTGCACTTTGCCATAGACTTCTATTATATCCTGCAGGTGTGGTGCACTTTCTGAAAGCACACCGAAACTCCTGCATTCAGGAGTTTTGGTGGGCTTTCATAAAGTGCATCAAACCCGCAGGATATAATAGAAGTCTATGGCTAAGCACAGCAAACCCATAGGATAGCTGCAGGTATACTGCACTGCACCTGTGGTGTGGGTAAACCGCAGCACATCAATTTGAAAACAGCCCTATACTATTAAGCCCAGTGTATTGCTTCACACTGACCTGAAGATCTTTTTCCTGCTGATGGCACCCCTCTGGAGACCGCTAGCCAGGATAAGGGGTGGAGTACAGTTGGCATCACTCCGCATTGGACAGGAGACATAGACGTATACAGCTCTTGCTCCCTACTACAGCTCCAATTTTACAAGTAGTCATTTTGCATTGCACTCTGTTTGATGGTCTGGGGATGGTGGGTCAGCAAGCCCACACCATGATCTATCAGTCACCTGGCCACAATCTATTGGTTGCTGACCCCTGCTCTAATCCCAAAATGAAGAAAAAAATAATAAACTCCAGTCATTCGTATGCTGCAAAGAAGTCACTATTGTCCTTCAGAGATTTTTAGCAAGAGCACTGCCATACAGTAATTGGAAAAATACGTGTCCAGCAAACATTTTCCCTTAGATGGAATACTAGCATTGAAAATAACTGTATAGCAAACATGGAAATAGCTCAGCAAAGACAATGTATTACAAGCCGCCTTGGTTCTTACCGAAGATTATCATCAGCTCCTCCAACAATAACAAGACTGTTATCAGCTCTAAGTTTCTCTCGAAAATCTTCCATTGCCTCTGGATGACATTGAAGCGAATTCTGACCAATTACAAAAAGTACTGGGGTCTTCATATCAATGAGAGAATCATCAACATCCTAAGGAAACAAACATTTAAATTTATAGCCAGCTTGAATTTTGCTTACTGCTTACTGACAGCCATAGTAATAAAATATAAAGAATCCTTCGCCTGAAAATTTGAAAAAAAAAAAAATACTGTAAATTTATTATACATTATATAAAATACTACAGCAGCAACAACTCCTCAGTCTCAATGGTTGGGGTCCAGGAGGCTGGGCCCCTCAGGACTCCCGGGCCCCCTATATGTGTTTGGGTTGTCCCCAGTGATGGTGGCCCTGGTGGCAGAGGAGATCTCTGCATCACACATTGTTGAATGAAAAAACGTAGCAAATCTGTGAACAGAGGACCATGTTGCCGCCTTACAAATCTTCAAACCAGATGCTTTATGCTGGAAAGCCCAAGAAAACTTTGCAGACCTAGTGAAGTGGTACCTAACAGGAAAGGGAGTAACCTTATCCAATACTCTCATGCAAAGCATGCTGAGGGGCAACCGCTGGATAGCAGTAGCTGAGCTTGAGAGCGTAAGGCCCTTCCAAGGAGAGAAAGAACTGGGCCTAGGAAATGTTTAGGATCAATCCCAAGTATTGTGACTGTAAGCTGGATCTAGCACAGACTTCTAAGGATTGAGGAACCACCCAAAATTTGTCAGAGTCTACACAGTCCAAGGCACGTTGGCACTCAAAGCATGGATGGAACAATCCTTCAAATAGCAGGTCATCCAGTTAATCCACAATGTAGACACCCTGAAAGCAAAGAAGAACCAGAACAGGGACCAAAACCTTTGTGAAGACCTAAGGAGCAGTGGATAGACCAAATGGCAAAGGCTACAAAATGAAAAAAAAAACGACAGTGTCCCACTGCAAAAGGTAAAAAAAAAAAAAAAAAATGTTGGTGTGAGGGGAGAATGGGAATGTGTGAATAAGTTTCTTTGAGGTCTACTGATACCAGCAGACACCTGTTGAAGGGATGCAATGACTGGCATGGCTAATTTTATACAAATCTTTCGGAAGGCCTTCCAGCACTTCAGGTCCAGGATAGGACGAATGTTGCCCCTGGTATTCGGAACTAGGTTGAAGTAAAGCGCTGAGCAAACTGTTGGCGCTATATAAATCCTGTATAATAAGTAAAAACCCTGAAATTTCTCCTCTGCAGACACAGGAACAGTTACCAAAGATGTGAGCAATTGCTAAAGAGCAGCATGCAGATCCTCCAGCCTCTAGGGAGAAGGTGCCAGTTTTGAATTTATAAAAACCAGCAAAAGATACAAATAGCAATGCGCAGGACCAGAGAGTCCAACTTGTTAGAAGCAATAAGATCTGTCAATGTGAGGAAGATGAGGAAGAGGAAGAAGAGGAGGAGGAATAAGAAAAAGGAAGAAAGAAGGAAGGAGGAGTCATAACCAAGCCCTAATCTACTATTTACAAATGTATTTTCCCTGAAGCCAATAAACTCTTAAGTGTGTGTAGGTCTTGGTGGGAGTCAGTGGTCGTTGATCTAGATACAGAGGACGTCTGGCATGCACCCTTTACCAGGCTCATCTCAGCTTGTGACCAACTAATACACTAAAAATGTTTATACAGATATATATATATCTCCCATTAAGTTTAGAAGGTAACTAAGGCCCCACAAAAGCTACATGCACGCTACTTACCCTGTTATTCTTTCATGCCAGGAAACTCATCATTCTATTTTGGAAGAAAACTGCAGCTTCAACAGTAGAGGCCTGGAAGGCCTTGGTAAATAAGACCTTTATATAAAGCCACATATTTGAATAGGGGAGCATTTCACATATTTGATATGGTTTGGGGAGGGTGGGTAGCCTCTCCCCTCACGATCTCAGATTACTGGAGCATTCTCAAATAGCTGCTGGTCCCTGGGGTCCCTCGACTTGATCCTTTGCTTTATGAGATTCTGTTTATTTGCAAAGTAGCACCGATTATCTATATTACATGGTGTGAATAACAGGTTGTGGATTGTTCTTTAAAAAAATACCTCTGTAACTGTATTATGGGGAGGTTTCTTTATCCTTAACCATTTATTTATGTGGGTTCTAGTGGTGACATTCACAAGCACTGTTCTTTATTGTTTGATTTTTTTTTTTGTAAGGCTACTTGTCGCCATCTAGTGACTAATTGCAGTCCTGTCCTGTTTGTATGCTAGGATTATTGAAAAAAAACAATAGAGAATTAAAAAAACAAAAAAAAACAAAAGGTAAAACTTATCACACACACACACACACACACACACACACAAAAAATGCACAAAGGTAAAATCACACACACACACACACACACACACACACACACACACACACACACACACACACACACACACATACATATACATATACACATATTAATACACACAAGAAAATAGTTGTAACAGAAACGACCCAGGCTGCGCTTGAGTACTTCCGTTAGAATACTGCTTCCCCGTCCAAACACAACAACAGACACCAAGCAGACCATACAAGACTGGAGGACACCAGTCTGTCTGAACATGCAACTCTTTATTTTAAACACAAAACTGGATTTTTATACAATACACACTGAGACTGATCAAGTGAGCTATATATAGAAATAGACTTAACACTCTAAATAGTAAGTTAATTAGGTTAGCTAGCTGGGTGACCTAAACAAAAGGTGAATGGGAATTCACACCTAGACAATGGTTTGATGAATTAGGATCTCACTATAGAGCAGATGGTCTGACTCCTACATTGGAGTAGAGGAGAGGCCACCTTGCTCAGCTCTTCCAATTCACATGTCTAGTTCAGAATCAACAGCCAGGAATAGTCTTCATATGGCTGATAAATATTACTGTCCCATCTGAAGTAATTCCAACCGCATTCTCAGCGTCCATTAATCACCCTGTGCCCCTAAAAGACACAGGGTGATTTGCACATAAGAGAGATATGGGGAGCTGAGATAGGGGTCTCCCAACCTCTGCAAAGTAAGCTGGGTTCCATGAACCCCCCACCCAAAGTGACCCCCGTCACAATAGTAGCTTAACAAAGACTTGTGAAGAATAATATTCAAGGGGCTAGAGACCTAAAGACCCCACAGAGAAAAAGTGTTGGTCTCTGAAAAAACTACTATAACTAATGCAGTGCTTGTGATTGGTTCACATAACACATTTACTAAAGATGCACAGACTCATGGCTCAACAATGGAATCACAAAAGATTTTTGGGCTGACAGCTGAAACTGGAACAAAAATTTAAGCTGTTGCCCATTTCAACTATGTTCCATGTGTAGTTTAACCACTTGCCTACTGTGCACTTTTTCCCCCCCTTGTGCCCAGGTCAATTTTCAGCTTTCAGTGCTGTCGCAATTTGAATGACAATTGCGTGGTCATGCAACATTATACCCATATGATATTTGTATCATTTTTTCACACACAGAGCTTTATTTTGGTGGTATTTAATCGCCACTGGGTGTTTTATTTTTTGCACTATAAACAGAAAAAGTTTTTCTTTGTTTCTATTATAAAAAATTTTACAAACAGGTAATTTTTCTCCTTCACTGCTGTGCAATGATGAGGCTGCACTGATGAGGTGGCACTGATGAGGCAGCACTGGTGGGCATTGCTGATGCTGCACTGATATGAAACAATGATGGGAACGGATAGGCGACACTGACTGACAGCACTGACTGGCGGTACTGCTGGGGACTAATCAGTGCCCTGATGATCGGTGCACATGTCCTCTGTGTCATTTGCTGGTAATCGGGAGTACTTTCTTCATGCTGTCCCAGCATGAGGAAAGAGCTACCGATAACCAGCAACTGTATCTACTTGGTGATCTGCTGTGTCATTGGACATAGCTGATCATGTGGTAAAATGCCGCTGTGATTGGCCTTTTACCTGATCATGTGATCATCTGTGTCCGTAGGACATAGCAATCACAGAGAGCGCCGGGTGCGCACCACTGGGGGCGCGCGGGAGGCCGCCATATGACACCCTCCCAGAACTGGACAACCGCGCTGTAGCCATCATTCGGCTATAGCATGGTTGGCAAGTGGTTAATAATGGCATGAAAGATGTCACATAGTAGGTGAATTACCTTTAAAGCAAAACTAAACCTATCATTTACAGCCAGGGAAGCTGTCATTTTAGACTCCGTTTGATCCGCAGTTTTCATGGGTGTTGCGGATGTGATTAGTTAGGACACCAGCTTAATGGCTTGTTTTGCTGACAAGAAACTAAGACAGTTATCTTTCCCAGCATGCCCTGAATATAACTGCTTTGGGAGACAGTTATATATATGAATTGTGTTCCTCCCATATTTTTTCAGATTTAAAGCTTAACATTAATCAGCTAAATAAAAACTAAAATAAATAAAATACATACACTGTATATGGGAGCCGTTTTACCTGCCAAAGGATTTGTATTTCTGCCCATCCAGTTCGGAGCTTTGCACAGTTCTGCCACACAAACTGGATAAACAGCACTCTCTCTCCAATGCCTCAAAAAAGGGCTGAATGCCAGGAAAAGGCCAGGGAGACCAATGAGTTGATAGCCTATGGATAAACTCTTGGTGGTGCAGCCCTCCTCAGACTGTGAAATCATCAAAAACTGGAAAGGAAGCACACAGGTGGCACAAACACCTAGTGCATTATCCAACATTTATTAAAAATGAAAAAGACAAAAAACATAGTCACAAAATGAAATACATGCACAAGTGCATGAGGTGGTGGTTCTCATGCACTTGACTGACACACACACACACACACGCGCGATGCATCAGCAGGCCGACCGCACCACAACTTGGACACTCTGCCATCATTGTGGCGTTATAGGCTTTTGCATGAACTTCATTTTGTAAGTTTTTTTGTCTTTTTCATTTTTAATAAACCTTGGACAATGTGCTAGGTGTTTGTGCCACCTGTATGCTTCCTCTCCAGTTCTGCCACACAGAACAGACCTGTCCAGCAAGGTAGGAAACTTGTCTTTACTCTGCTACAGTCCAAACACAATACAAGTCTTGCTCCTCCCCCATACTGTGATTGAATAGTAAATGTAGAAGCAGCAGACTGATAAGCTCTTCTCCCTGTCACCCTACTCTCTACTCCTATTAGCATGCTTCTTGCACTGCAGCACAACTAATTGGCTACTTCATCAGTCTGAGCTCTGCTGTACAAGGGACTGCAAGAGGCAAATATCAGATATAATTAAAATATTAAAATATGCTCACTTTAAAAAAAAAAAAAAAAAAAAAAAATACACATACTTTTGCAGGATAAAAATATGCATTTATTTTTTTTTTTCACAGCCACCTACAAAGCATTGCACCTGCAATCTGTGCACTGTGGATGCAATGCCAGGCTCCTGCATACTCTTCTTCCAGCTCTCTCTCTTTTCCTCTGTAAAGACTTTCATTTAGAAAGCTGGAGGAAGTGGCAATGGTCTATGAGTGAGCCGATTACTGTACTTGTATTCCATTGAGAACTATAAGTTCGTCTGCTGCAGTGGTAAACAGGACTTGAATGACGCAGCTGTGCAGGCAGGGCACTTATTTTAAAATAAAGTTGCTGCAAGATGGAGGGTGAGTGGAGATCCTTAGCAACATGTTACATCCTAAATATGGCTGTACTGTGTTGCCAAAGGTAGAGTTAGCCTTTAAGGTACTTACACTGCTTGCATTTAAGAAAATAAAGTGTATATTAATGAATACAGAGCTGCATCAATTTCTGTCTTCCTAGAAATTCTGCTTGGAGTTTCCCCTTATTATACGTCTTTTTTGGTAGTAGGTACTCACCCCTCTAGGTCCATCCATAGTCAGCAAAGGGAATCCCAGGCACACCACAGCTGTCACATATTCCATCAAAGACACCTAAGCAAACGAGACATAAATGTTAGTTTTTTCTACTTATCCAATTATTGTCATTGTCTGAAATTGCTATTTTGTATCCAGAATACAAAAAGGTGCAGCAATGTACAGCAGGTAGTCTTCAATTCTTTGTTTGAAACATTTGGCATTTTTTTTTTTGGCCTGCTAGATTTCTCGGTCAATGGGAAAGAAGGTGAGATTAATCTTACCCTTTTCCTGTTCCAAGAAGAAAAGAAAATTTCTTAATATCTCCATAAAAAAGTATAAAACATTAATTTGGTTGCAGTGTTGCATGGCAGAGTAGTTTTCAAAGTGTCAGCGCTGTAGTGAAAGGAGTGAAACATGCTGGTATTGAGGTTGCTTTTTTTACAGTAAGGCATGTTGCCAAATATACTGGCAAATTAGCTTTTGGATTTGCTTACAGTTAACAGAGGAACCATGGGCAAAAAAGGGTTTTAATGTAACATGACTGGAGAGATCTCCTGTATTGGTGGCCATCATCAGGGCCAGTTCAAACCGCACTCTGTTCCGGTGCATTTTTGATGCGTTTTACCGTGTTCCAGTACAGTTCTGTGCAGAAAAAATGCTGCAAATTCTACTCGTTTTCTGCCCTGGAAACGGACTGCGCTGGTGTGAACTAGGGCCACTGGAATTCATGGAAAACACTGTGCATGCATTTTTGATACAGAAAACAAAAAAAACACACTGGACTGCATCTGGTGTGAACCAGCTCTCAATTGGACAAAATAAATGAGTGAAAATACTTCCTAGTGTGAACAGACTGCTAACAGAAGCCTTTGTTTGCATTCTGTGACTGGTTACAGCGGTCACGTGGTATATTGGCTCTGTACCTATCTTTTACTGTGATCCGCTGTATCACATCACAATATGATCACAGGATTGTGCATGTGCAGGTTCACAGTATCCTAAGGACATACCAGTATGTTCTCACAAAACAAGATGAACGGCCCAGCCATACATATACAGTGGCCAGTCCACAAGAGGTTAAAATCTTTTCTGGTTCTTCTGGTGCACATTTTCCTATCTAGAAAGCTTGCCAGTAATAGTAGGTGCTGTTACAGGATAACACCACAAAGCCACTGTTCTGCAAACAGCAGCAGAGTTGTCCGTCTGCCATTGGATTATCAATAAGGTCCGCAGGAGGCATGCACGAATTAGAAAAGCAGCACAATGGCCAAATGAAGGAGTACAAATGGCAAATGGCAGTTTGACAATGCTAATTGTAAAGCAGAGGTTTAAAGCGGAACTATATTCACCTTCTATTCAGCGGCATGTACTACAGGGGCTCCCCGCCAGCTGCTGTCATATTCATCTGGATAGGTTTCCAGGTACTAATCTTCAGCCATTTTCACTGACAGGCTGAGATGACACCACTCCTGTGCATGCACAGGAATTCATTCATCTTGGCAGTGTGCAGCTCAGTGTACAGGGAATACAGGCAGGTTATGGATTTGTAATGCCAGGAGACGTAGCAAGGTTGATTTACTGAAAGAGAAATCTGGTGCAGCTCTGCAATGTAACCAATCAGCTTCCAGCAAGATGAGGTTAGAAACTGATTGGCTACCATGCACAGCTGCACCAGATTTTGCGCTCTCCAGTTTTTGTAAATCAACTCCAGTATGTCTTTTCTGCATTAAAATCCTGCCAGTTTGCCATTTTTTTTTTAATCACTTTAAAGTGGCTGTAAAGGCTGAAGGTTTTTTTTACCTCCATGCATTCTATGCATGAAGGTAAAAAAACCTGTGTGCAGCAGTGCCCCCAGCCCCCGCAATACTTACTTAAGTCTCATCGCGATCCAGCGATGAGAATAACAGCCTCACCTGTTCCGAGTCCTTGCCTCCTCATTGGCTGAGACAGCAAGCGGGAGCCATTGGCTTCCACTGCTCTCAATCACAGCCAGTCGGCCAATGAGGAAAGAGGGAGGTGGGGCCAAGCCACAGCTCCATGTGTGAAAGGACACACGGAGCAACAGGTGCCCCCATAGCAAGCTTCTTGCTGTAAGGGCACCCGACAAGACAGGAGGAGCCAGGAGAGCCTGCGGGGAACCCGAGAAGAGGAGGATCCAGGCTGCTCTGTGCAAAACCACTGCACACAGTAAGTATAGACATGTTTGTTATTTTACAAAAAAAAAAAAAAAAAAAATGAACCTTTAGAATTACTTTACTGTTGGCAGTCTGCAAGATGCTTTGCAACAGATACACAAAAAAAAATTATTTGTTTAGTGAAAATTTAAATTAGTGAAGCACATGTCAAACATAATGAAAACTATGGCTCTGTCTGACATCTCCATTCTTGAGTAAGTGCTAGCCCAACCAAAATTTACCAGGAAATATGTAAAGCGAGAGTCTACCTTACTGGATATCATTTACATGAATTGTTTATGTAGTTTACACCTGCCTGTATCCGGTCCAATAAAAACCAGACGGATGGGGATCTTTCCCCATCTGTCTAGCGGATCAAATCTGATTAGTCGGATGTAAACGTACAGGTGGTCCTTTTACATCCAACCCCCATAGAGAACAGCGAGCTGTGTCCAGGTCCGCTCGGCACAAGCGGAGCAGACATGGACCTGTCATTTGCCTGCATAGTGAGGATCACTGGACAGGTCCCCCGCTGAGCAGGCGAATAAGCTTTGTGGAGTCCGCTCGTGTGAAAGGACCCTAAAAAAAAAACCCACAATGCTGCTGCCATAAACATTTCAAATTGAAATATGCCTATACAGGTTACAGATAAAATATTTAATATTTAAATTACATTTTTAAATAGAGACATCGTAAAACCATCACTCAGGTAGTCAATACTCACATGACACGCAATTAATGCTCCTGTATTCCATCCAAGCAAAATGACAGGCTTGTGAGGGAAATGATTGTGAATCTATAAGCAGAAAAACAGAAGTTTTATTTGATCATACTTCAGTTCTGAGGTACCAAGGTTACACCATGAATAAACATGGCTATATGCAGGGAACACATGTCAGTGTACAGCAACATAATTAGGTAATAAGTTATACCTTACAAAAATTATGCAAGACTTACTGTAACTGAGAAAAATGTAAGGAAAATGTTTATGTTACAAAACAGCCGGTCCATTGTGCTTCATGTACAACATTATGTGTGACAAGGACCCCTAATTCTGATAATATCCATTTCCCAAAAGTTTACATACCTCAACTACTTTGCTTCGCAATCCACCAATCATGTTTTCTAGGCACTGTAAGGAAGTCACCCCACTACCATTGTTAGCCAGCTGAGAACCAACAGGAATGACCTTGAAGAGACATAAAAATAATTTTTATGCTGCATAACAGTAAAATGGTTTCAAAAAAGGATTTCCTATTTTTTTTTTTATACAAATGTTTTCCCACAGAAATATCACCACAGGTTCAAAGCTGAATTTTGGTACAGTAGCTCTATATTCTCTAAAGCTGAACTTCAGGAATGATCCTTATTGCATGGGTTCAGATAGCAAATGTAATTATGCATATATCATACTTGAATGGCTGCTGGGAAAACTGAAAATAAATGTAGTAGTCAGTGCTTTTACAGTGATGGCCACAATCTTCCAGGTCTTGATTCGAGCAGCTTCCCCTCTGCACACTGACCATTGGGGGTCACTTGCTTGGTACTGCTACCATTTATAGAATGCCTCATAATTTTCTCAATGAATACAACGTGATTGCTGATTGGACGAGTTGAAGGTCTTGACACCACCGCTCCTCCTCTCAACTTTATCCAAGAGAAAACCTTGAATTATTAAAACAAAAATTAATCGCAGCAGTGCCAAGTTAGTGACCCCCATGTGATCAGTGTGCCAAAGGGAATCGCTCACACAGAACCCCAGCAGGACCTGAAAGCTGGGGCTATCACTGTAGTAGCACTGACTACTACAGTGACTGTCAGCTTCCCCAGCATACTTACATTGTGTCAAGCTGAACCAATGTAAGAATGCAATAAAGACCATTTCCCAAATTAAGCTTTAATTAATAATTAAATGTGTTTTTTTTTTTAAATTCAACTAGTGTATTATACTTCCGTCTGGCATGACTTGAGCCTCTTGCAGTCCCTTATATAGCAGCACTGACAGCCAATCAGGTGTGTTGTATGCAAATGTACTGAAAAAGAACATGCTGATAGGAGGACCAAGCATAAAGGATGCCCTCATCACTGTGCTGCTACCCGTTCACTGTCCAGTAAGTAGACAGTGGGAGGAGAGAGGATACCAATTCCTCAAATGCTACAAAGAAAGTAGTATCCTTTACACCTGACCGAGCTGTCTGCCAGGGCTGTATAAATCTCTGGACTAGATGAACAGAATTACAAATCAGCTTGCAGGTAAAACAGCTCCCTGTGTATTTAATGGTTTACCAGGAGTTCTGCCTTCATTAATAAATCAGGAATTTTTAAAATGTTTTTTTCAACTGATGTTATGCTCACATATATTTTGGCCAGCCAGAACCTAAAAAGGTAAAAGATGTCAAATGTAAGGGAATCTCAGGGGCAATTCCAGGCCTTGGACTTTGCCTTTCGAAAAACCTTATTTCTGAGCACTAATACAAAAGTAAAAAGGTTTTCTTCTGGAATGTTACATTTGCCTTATATTATCTAGTTTTTGGCCAACGGATAAAGGATTGTGGCTTTTTGTTGGCATACTTTTAAAAGAGCAAATATTAGAAATTTCTTGCTTATAAGTTTAACATATATGCAGGCAGGATATTGGCAACAATACAATTGTATCTGAAGAAGGAAAGGATACTGCAATGTTACTACCGTAGGTAGATCTGCTATGCCATACATATTAAAGTTGTCTTTTTAAGCAGAGATGGTAGCTGGTAAATTTGTATTGTATAAACATTTATGTATTACATTTGTTTTTCTACCAAATAAAAAATGATGGCTATGTGTTACTTTTAACCATTCCTAATTTAATTGCTTGTGCATATGTTAAATTGGTTAATAGAGTACACTCCTTATCTTACTTTTTTATGTAAGGGAGAGGTGGGAGATTTTTTTTTAAATTAGTGACTCAATTGTATACAACGCTCTGTATTTTAGGTTAGTCATTTGTAAGACCATTCTTTACACATATTTGTAAATTTTTTAAAAACCAAAAAAATATTTAAACAAGCTGGAACCTAATTGTTCGGAGGAGACAAATCAAAATTAAAACATATGAAGAGTTAAGACACAATGTGGAACACAATTATCTATTCTTGATTTCCTTAAAAGGGCATATTAACAAAAAAAAAATACATTATAGCATATCGCAAATGCATTCTTAAAAAGGAAAACAACATCTTGATAAAAAACCAAAATGTTCTTTAGCAAGGAACATACATTCCATATTAATAATCATGCTACCAAAATTATTGTGTGCTGTAAACTGCTTCCAACATTGTTCCTGTGTCTTCTTGCTGGGGGCTGCCATTTGGCTGAAGCCCAGAACCCCAAAGCAGTAGCAAATCTTTAAGCTGTCAGCAGATCATCCTCTACATTTTCATCACAGTGCAGAAAAAAAAAAAAAAAAAAAAAAAAAGAGAAACTGAGCACGTGCAGAGCAGAGTGAGACCGTGTATTCCTGGATTTCAAACTGTATAGGCACTTATTTTTAATGTTTTACAAAGCTATACCTGCAAAAAGGGCCAGTCTGAACTGATCTAGCAGGGCTTAATTTTCTAACTAAAGTTCAACTTTAAGTAATAATCAGTGCACCAAAACAAACCTTAGCTAAACAGGAGAGCTGGGATTGCCAAAACCGATGTCTTCGCGAAGTTGGAAATATTGAATTTGTTGGCCCTGATGGAGCAATGAGGATGAGAGGGGAACCTGGGAGTTTACTCTGGAGAAAAAAAAGATTTAGTAAAAAAGATTTGCAAATCAAAATAAGAAAAAAAGCAAAAACACGATGTGGATATATTTACAGGCTTGTTATGTGATAGTACTCCAACTGCTGGATCCCATGGTCTCTTCAGTAGTAGAGATAATGCTTCTGCACTGGCTCCTCCTGCTCTGACAGTTGTGGCTAGCAGCATGCGATCAATAAGAGCTGGTACCTGTAGAGAGTCACGAGACATTATCTCCTTTTTACACACACTGGATATATGTCCGGCCACAAGCAACATGATCACAAGCACAACCAAATCTTCCGATACCACATAATTTGGACAGATACATTATTTACATACATTGTTACTCATGCCAAATGAAGCAGTACCTTGCCTTTCAATGTTTGCAGAGCATCCAGATATGCAGCAAGCAGTGGTAGGCTGAGTGTTTCTACCAGTATGCTATGTAGCCACTGCACTAGTTTGGTATCCCATCCTGCTGAGGCTAGAGCTTGACGTACTCGACGGGCACACTTGTCCACAGCAATTCTTCTTAGCACTGGCTCATTGATTGCCTAAAGGGACAATAAGCAAAGAATTTTCATTATACAAATTTAGGACATTTAACTGTGGATTTAACAGCTAATATCTAGCCTGGTCAAGCGCTGTACTAGTTCACTTAAAGAAAAAAAAAAAAAAAAAAAAAAAAAAAAGAACAGTACTTACACCATCATTAGCAAGTCGAGCAAGGCGGTCAGCTTGTAAAGCTTTCAGGACCTTGTTAAAAAGCTTATTCTGGGAGGTACTCCAACCAGTCCTAATAACAATTGATAATAAAACCACATTAAAAAGGGCTTAAGGGTTAAACTGAAATTTGAAAATTTTGCTTTGACACAACAGCAAATAATAACCTATTAAGGTGATCTTCCCAGTCATCAGGTGGCAGAGGAGCTTCAGTGTCTGTTCGCACAAAGATCACATGACGTTCACACTCATTCATAACAGTTCGAGCCTTCTGGTTATCATATAATGGCATGGAAATGGGAGTGACAGTCTCAACATCAATGGGAACATCTGCCTCACTGCAAAGTGGTAGAAATAACAAGAATACAATTCAGGCCACAATGACAACTATTACCATCAGTAGTTTGGTATATTGTCTTTTGCACATTTATTTACAGTGGCAAGAAAAGTATGTGATCCCCTTGGATTTACTGGTTTTCTGCAGTAATTTATCATAAAATGTGATCTGATCCTCTCCCAAGTCTCACAATAGAGAAACACAATGTGTTTAAAATGGTTCTAAAGGCTCCATTTTTTTTTTCTACCTTCATGCATTCTATGCATGAAGGTAAAAAACCTTCTCTGTGAGGCATCCCCCCCAGCCCCCCTAATACTCACCTAAGCCCCCTCTCAATCCAAAGATGTGTACTGGAGTCTCAGCTATCCCAGGACTCCCTCTCCTCATTGGCTGAGACAGAAGCGAGAACCATTGGCTCCCAATGCTATCAATCACAGCCAGTGAGCAAATGAGAAGAGAGAGGGAACGGGGCCAAGCTTCAGCTCCATGTGTGAATGGACACACGGAGCAGCGGGTGTCCCCATAGAAAGCTGCTTGCTGTGGAGGCACCTGACAGGAGGGAGGGGCCAGCAGCGCCAGAGGGGGACCTGAGAAGAAGATGATCCAGGCTGCTCTGTGCAAAACCACTGCACACAGCAGGTAAGTATAGACGTGTTTGTTATTTAAATATGTAAAAAAAAAATAAAAATTAAGCCTATAGAATCACTTTAAGCTGATAACACAAAAACCATTTTAATTTCTTGTGTCTTTATTGAACACACCCATTACACATGGATGGCTGGAGGAAAAAGTAAATGAATCCTTGGAGTAATAGCTGGTTGGACAACCTTTGGCAGCAGTGACTTCAAAAAAGCGCTTTCGGTAGCTCTGGATCAGAACTGTACAACATTCTGGAGGAATTTGCGACCATTCCTCTTTATAAAACTGTTTCAGCTCAGCCATGTTTGTAGGATGTCTGGCGTGAATAGCTCTCAAAGTCATTTCACAGCATCTCTGGTATTAAGATCCAGGCTCCGACTTCGCCACTCCAAAAGGCGCATTTCCTTTTTCCAAAAGCCCAGTTCTGTGGTGAATTTACTTCGATGCTTGGGGTCACTGTCCTGCTGCATCCCCCAACTTCTACTAAGCTTCAGTGGACAGACAGCCACCCTGACATGCTGTGGGATATTTTAGTAAACTTGGGAATTTGTTTTTCCCCTTGATGATGGCAAATGATCCAGACCTGAGGCAGAAAAGCAAACCCAAATCATAATGTTCCCTCCATCAAGCTTCACCATTAGGATGATGTTTTGATGATGGTAAACTGCTGCTTCTTATGAACAGCAATCCTAAAATGTTTGCTTGTCTTCTATCACAGTAGCTCTAAACCACATCTCCAAACTAATTTCATTAATTGGACTCCAGGTGTGCAAACTACTGACTCTAGTTCGCTTTTGTTGAATATATGGGTTCACTTACTTTTTCCTCCAGCACTGTGAATGTTTAATGGGTGTGTTCGTTAAAGACACATTAAATTAGAATTGTTTGTGTTTTATCAGCTTAAAGTGTTACTAATCCCAGGACCCTGCATTCATAATATATCTGGTCTCCCACAGTACACAGAAAATCGGAAAGCAATTACTTTAGTAAATATAAACTGCTAAATACCTTTTCTCATCAGCAGTTACAGCAGTCTTGCGACTTCTATCAGTGTCCAGTCGAGCACGTTAAAGCTTGTAGGAGGCCCTGTGCTGATCACATGCACTCTCCCAAGAAAAAATAAAAACCTCTCTAGCAATACATACCAAACTGAGCCTGTGCAGAGTGACTCCACACAATATGTCTTAACAGGAGATCAGAGAGGGATACTGGAAGAAGGGGAGGATCAAATAGCCTTTTTACACAATGCAGAGGATTAACCCCTTAGGTTCCACAGTGCGTATAACAAGCATGCTTTACTGCATATACAGACTGATTTTACGGTTGTGGCTTTATTAACACTTGAAGCACATTGTGTTTGTCTATTGCTGTGACTTGGTTGAGGATCAGATCACAGTTAACGGCAAATTACGGCACAAACCCAGTTAATTTCAAGGGGTTCACATACTTTATCTGGCCACTGTACATAACCCTTCTTTTTACCCCTTCCTGCCCAGTAAAAGGTGTCCCTCTAACTAGGTTTTTTTTGCTCAGGAGACAGAAAGGACTGCCTGATCATGTGACCACTGTGACAACTGCGGTCACATGACACCGACTCACAATCATTAGGCCAGGAGCTGCCTATGACAGCTCAGTCACTGTACCGAAATGTTGGCTGTCCAGGGATGCTTATGTGCCGCATGTGGGCATTAAAGCTTACCCTCTTTGCTGCTGCACATATTCATCATGTGGGCGGCAGAAGGCTAATCAAAATATATTTTTCTAAAAGTTGAAACATTAAGAACCACATTTACTCTCAAAACTGTCTTTCTGGAATTATTACAAAGAATCTAAAACTTACATGGCACTTTCCTGCTGTCTACGAGGAGTGATGAAAAGGGTACGGGTAGGACGGGCATTGCTGGCATCAGGGTGGGCACTCCAAGGCTTGGCATAGCTGTGATCAAGAAACACCAAGTCCAACTCTCGTTCATGCACAGACAACTGGAAAAGTAGAGATGTGCCCATTCTACGTGCAGAAGACTGCAGATCTCGTTCACTTGTCCTGTGTGACATTTTTGCCACACCACAGACCCCAGGCATCGGACACAGTGTAACAAAACCTGTAAATGGAGTAAATACATTTTATTATGCTATCATACTGGTAATTATCACTTCTCCCAGATATGGCTTGGATATTGAAACCAAATCTGGCCAGCTTAAACAGAATTCATACCTGCTCAACTTACACAGCTAAGGTTTACATTCATACAGAATGCTTCTGTATTCAGCTGCTGATAAGGAAAAGGAGCCCTGTATAAACTCTAGGATTCTTACACCACACCCTTGTCAGCCACATGTTCCTCCATATCCAAGAGTACTAGGCATCTTTTTCACACCAGGAGGATGAACAACACAGGAAGAAAGAAAAAGTAAGTGTATGCATCAGGAAGGGGTGCATTAAAGTGAATCTAGACTCAACCAATCTTATCCTTAAAAAGTAGCTCCACTTTTGTTGAGAAAAAAATCCACTTTGGTTAATCAATTTACAATGCACAGATTTTTACAGTTTTTGTTCCATATTCCCCATTTCTGCCTTGAAGGAATAGCAGGAAATCACATTTCTGGAGAAATTCTGTACACCATTTTGTATAGAATGCTTCCATGTTGCAATTTTGCATTAAATTTTACAGAAATGTTTAGAGCTACAGTTTGAAAAGGAAATGGTAACATTTAAAAACAATAAATTACAATTTGGCTATGTTGCAATTATATATGCTATTTTTTTTTCCATTAAAGTGGAGTAACCCTTTAAGTATGCGACAAGTCCGTTTATGAATGATATACCACTTACAGTGGGCATATTACATGGCTATCACTGGGTTACCCATTTGCTCCTTTGCCAAAGGCCTACTTTTTTCTTTAATCCACTGCAGTTTCTCTCTGGAAAGCTAGTCCTGTACATGTCTTTGGGTGCAATAAAACTGACCAACTAAAATGAAAATGCCGACTCCGATAACAAGATGTTTATATAGTATGATTAACCAACTTTATTAACTCAAGTCATCTTTTTAAAGAGATGAAAGCATAAGTTCAAAAACATTTTTTTTTTATAGCTTTGAATGGATGGAATGACTTAGAACCTCTATCAGGCTTCAAACACTGTCTTGTGTCCCTGTTGGGGAGATTCACCCTGCTTTTCTCATGAAAGACTTCTTTAAAGCGACAATCAGTACTGCCATTACAACAAGCCTAAACTCTCACTAAATCTCATTGTCCTTTGCTCTCCTAACACAATCTTCTACTAAAAAAATTCTAAAGGGTCTACATGTAACAATCTGCTTGCATAACCCTACTTTGGCTATAGCTAGGGCCTTCCCAAATGTTTTATATATCAACTCAATGGATTATTTACCTAGCCCCTTCAACTACAGAGTAAATCTAGAAGAGGTACAATGAGGTAGTAAGTCCTCATACACACTGGACGTTTTTTACAGCTGCTGTTTTTGGCTTTTGATGTTTTTGCTACAGCCAGTAAACCCCCCAGCATGTGATCCTATGTGTTCATGCACCCAGACTGTAATCGTTTCTTGGCAGGGGCATTTTTTGGCTGAAAGAAAAAAAAACCCAGGACTAGTGGGTTTCTAGAGGAGTTTTTCTAGCTGTAAAAACACTCCAACGATAAAGAACGCGTTAAATCACGACAAACCGGCATTTTTGGAATTTTTTTTACCCCCCCCCCCCAATTTTTTTGGGGTAAAAAAAAAAAAAAAGCTAAAAAAAACGCAAACGTGAAAATACGCGACAAAACGCTAATGCAATAACGCTAAAAAAACGCACGTTTTTAACGTGACTTTACACAGCTAACATTACCAGCGTTATTAAAAGGTCCAGTGTGCATGGAGCCTAAGGGCTAAAGCTTCTGATACAGAGCCACAGAAAGAGATCACAAGTCCATGGTAAACAGGAAAGAAGAGAGAATTATTTTTAAAAATGTAAAAAAAAAAAACGAACAAAAAAACAACAATGTTCAAAGAACCGTGTAATGCAAAAGTCAACCTGACTGGATATAATCTGCACTAATGGTTTCGACAGGTTATAACTGCATAGCTGATGGTAAATTCTGACACCAGATCTGACAGAAAATATTACCTAGAGTAGCTAGTCTAAATCAAGGTATACACATAGAGGTTTTTTTTTTTTTTTTTTAAATTCAACTAGTGGATTGACAAAAAAAATAACTCAGATCGCTGCACTCATGCAAGCGAAGTGGATGCAGGGATCTCTCCTGCCATACTATTGTATTGTGACAGTGGGAACTCCCCTCCCTATCAGAATACACAGATCAGCGTCACAGCCATTGGGATGATGAAATGCTGGGTTTCCAGCAGGACAGTTCGACAGAAGCCGTTCATTAGACCATCTTCTGTTGAACAGACAGCAGCAACATGCACCACTTCAGCCACTTCCTACATACCCAGCTTAAGGGATTGTGTCCCCAGAAGATAAATAATTATTTAGAATTATAATTGTCTTTGCAGGAGCATTAAAAGTCTCACGTCACACATTAAAGGAGACTTTCACTAAAGAAATTCACTTCCGATCATGCCAATGGCAACCCCAACCTCCCCAATATTCTCCACTTTTAAAAACTGCCTACACCAGGTAAAAGAATGTAGCTGAAAAAAAAAAAAAAAAAAAAAAGTAGTTACAAAAGTCAGTGCAGTTTTTAAGTTAATGTAATCATGCTGCCTCTTTTCTGCTTTTGCTCCTGCGAACACCATTTTAGAAATTAACTTGATTTAAATTGGTAGCTGGTGTCTTCTTGCTCCTTGTGCTGACCAACCAATGACATTTGTACCTCAGTAAACTACTGTAATACTGAGCATGTGCAATGCGAAGCCCATGACGTCATGCACCGCATCTCATGCATGCGCAGTACGTTACATAAAGTTTTTGTCTTTTAACCCAGATTATTCTCTTTTCATCTCTTCCATTCACAGTACGACCACACTGCAAAATCTTACACTTTAAAGTGGTTGTAGCAGCTCAAGGTTTTTTACCTTCATACATTCTATGCAGCAGCCCACTCCAGCACCCCCAATACTTACCGAGCCCCCTCTCTATCCAGTTATGTGTAAAACAACCTCGGCTGTCTTGGGTATCTCCATTCTTATTGGCTGAGACAGCAGTGGGAGCTACTAGTTACCACTACTGTCAATCACAGCCAATGAGGAGAGAGTGGGGCGCCTCTGTGTGTGAATGGACACACAGAGCAGTGCCTTGGAGGCAAGCCTGCTTGGGTGCCCCCATAGCAAGCTGCGTGCTGTAGGGGAACTTGGCAGGAGGGAGGGCCTAGGAGCGCCAGCAGGGGATCAGAGAAGAGGATCGGGGCTGCCATGTGCAAAACCACTGCACAAAGCAGGTAAGTATACCATGGTATTTAGAAAAAAAAAATATCTGCCTTTACAATTACTTTAAAGTGGTAGTAAAGCCCCACCATTTACTTGTACCTACAGGTAAGTTTAAGACCAGGGGCGTCCCTAGGCTTGGTATCACCCGGTGAGGTAACACGTGGTGTCACCCCTCCAGAGGTGGGCGGTCTGGCTCTTCCCCTCCGTGTCCCGGTCGCACCCCCCGGACCAGTGTTTCGAGATCAGTTAACCCCGTATAGTTTGCAAGCCGACGATCCCCACAAGATGGATCGGATTGCAACCTATACGGGGTTAACTGATTTTGCAACACCGGTCCGGGGGGTACGACAGGGACACAGGAGGGGAAGAACCAGGCTGTGTGTGCATGACAAAGACCGCCCAACACTGGAGGGGTGACACCACGTGTTACCGCAGATCCGATCCATCTTGCGGGGATCGTCTGCTTGCTGTAAAACTTTTTGGTGTCACCCCGTGAGATAGGCGTCACCTGGTGTGGCCACACCCACCTAGGGACGTCACTGGTTAAGACAAAGTATTTTTAGGAAACAAATTTTAGGTGATTTCACATCAGCATGTTCATATGAAATTTAGTAAAAGTCGGCTTTAGGGTTTGTTCACACCACTATTTCTATGTTCTGGATGCATTTTTTCTACGCACTTACATGCATTTCCGATGTATTTTCAATGTGTTCCAGTGGGGTTTTTTCCTTTTATTTTGACACTTAAAAAAAATCTTAAATTTTCATTTAGGACAACGTGTTTACAGGTCCAATGTGTTTCCAAGCTTTTGATGCATTCCGGACAAAAAACAAATTACAGCAGGCTGTACTTCTGTTGAAATCACTGGAACTGACTGCACTGGTCTAAACTAGGACCACTAGAATACATGGCAAACACTCATGTACATGCATTCTTGTGGTTTAAAAATGTACTGAAAAGCATCTGGTGTTCCATTGGGAATAGGTGAAGTTCCTCTTTTTGGGTCTATTGGAACAGAGCAACAGTGTAAACAGGCCCTTAGGGCTTATCCACCTCACTTCCACAAAAACCACATAAGTTGGTACCTGTGTGCTCAAACGAAAACATGCTGAAGAACTGGGATTCAAGTATTCACCAACCAACACTTGTGTGCATTTTATCCCATAACATAACACGGTGTATTAAGCCTGCATTCACATCTAAGCAAAGCTTCTAATGATTTTGAATTTTTTTTGTTCTTTTGGGAAATTTTACAAGTGTTTCTGTATACAGAAAAGGAAGGAAGTATTTGAACCCCTGCTGATTTTGAATGTTTGCCCACTCACAAAGAAATGATCAGTCTAAAAATCAAATGGTAGGTGTATTGTAACACAGAGACAGAATAGCAACAAAAAATTCAAAAGAAATGCATGTCTAACAAATTATGCTCTGCGAGTTCGATTAGTGAGGTCATTCATTCTTTGAAAAACAGGTGGCAATTATTGCCCTTATTTAAGGAAGGAAGGCAGCAAATGTTGTACATGCTGGTTACAGTGCATTTCTGAAATTCTGAGGAAAATCGGTTGTTCCAGACATTGTTCAGAAGAACAGCGTACCTTGATTTAAAAGTTGATTGGAGAGGGGAAAACATATAAAGAAGTGCAGAAAATGATAGGCTGCTCAGCTAAAATGATCGCAAATGCTTTAAAA